GTTTATTCCACATGGCTGAACTTGGCAGGGCATTGACCATTCCAAACAAAGACTGGTTGATCAACACTGGTTGGTCCATTGATAATGTGAACAGTGTTAATGTCGAGAATTGAAGAAACCTTAGTATCATAACCTCCACTGCAGCTTCTTGTAGCATCAGTAGCAGTTGGAGACAAATCATTTCTGCTCGAAATGGAATAGCCAGGTTGACCAAGAGAAAGTGGATCATACTTCCAATTGTTATATCTAAGAAGATTCTTAATAGTATCAATTGAGTTGACCTTATTTTGATCTCTTCTAAAAATGTTAGCTCTAACACATGTTTCATAGGACAACATGTCTGAGGCATTTGGTCTCTTTAAGATTTCAGGATATCCAGAAATTGTGAAAACTTCCTTATAGAATGGAACATTGTAACTAGGCCAGTATCCATAGCTGAGAATTTGAGTTTGATCAGCACCAATAACCTTTCCTGGAATTTGCTCAACAACCCAAAACAAGTCATTGGCAAGTGGTTGGCCAGGAACGAACTTTTTAGTATCCAAAACCATGAATTGATTATTGTAAGTACCAGAGTTATATTCAGAAAAGATTTTACTCCATGAAGGAGCATCATCAGCAAGTCTGTTGGCTAAAATAACTCTTTGCCAACACAACAATGATTCTGGTTTGAGTAAATCATATAAGGAAGTGTTGAAAATATTGTTGGAAGTCTCAATAACAACTAATCCATTTTGAGTAATGTAAAAATCATCATTTGAAGCAAGTGTAGCTGGGTAACCAGAGAATGTGACCTTTGGTGAAGCAACCAATTTGTTATTGAAATTGAAAGTGTAAGTCTTATAGATACGACTGAAATTTTCAATGATATAATGATAATGGTTAGAAAACAAACTTACGTCATAGCTGCAAACACGAACCACGAATTATGTCCAAAGTAGATATTACTGAAATCTGGTGCGACCTTGAAGATGGCAGAGCAGTGACCATTGTCTCTGGCGAATTGTAAAATTTGAGCTGAGGTCATCTTGTTAAAATTTGGTCTGAAATCCTTCTTAACATTGACAATATCAAACAAGTCACCAGAAGCACTCATTACTTGCAATTCAGCATAACTAATTTTTTCTGAACTATTTGTAGTGGCATAATTGTAACCATCAAGCAAACCCTCCATTTGCAAATAAACAGTTCTGACCTGTTGCCAGAACGGATCGTTGGCATACTTGGCAGATGAATCTCTAACCCAAGCACGTTGAGACTCCAAGAAATCTCTCACATATTGTGGCATCTTCTTATCAGGATTCTCAGCCCACACATACGTATTCAAATTAACAAAGTGATTGTAAATTCTCTTCCTTGTCAAGACTCCTTCCAAATAACCGGCAGCATAACTTTGCAATTCATCCTTTATCAATCCATTGGTTTCAATAGAGAGAACATCCCATCCTTTTGCCTCATAACTATCATCATAATGTGCTGCAGCAATACCCGATCGCAGATTATAAACTCCATTCCTAACTATGTAATTCCCATTTTCATAGTAAAAGGTGGCATCGAGAGCCAAAACCTTGTTGGAGGCTTCATTTAAAACACCACAAACAATCAAGAGTCCGAGGATAAGTAAAAGAAGTGGTGATTTGTTCATTTTTTTTTTATCAAGACTATTAATGTGAACCTTACGGAGATGTAAGCTATAGAATGGAATTTTCATGTTTTAAATATAATAGATTTTTAACAAATATTTACATTATATTTAGCACAAATAATTAAATTTTCAATACTACCAAACAAATAAAAAATGGACAAAATCACACCACAAGCCATTCTTCATGCCGAAAAAATAATTCGTTCCGTAGGCGTGAAGAAAACCTCCCTCGACACTTGTCTTTCTCTGTCCAACCAGAAAAGAGCCATTTTGTTTAAATGTGAAAATGAACAAATTACAGGATCTTTCAAGATGAGAGGAGCCACTCATAAATTAATGCAATACATGATGAAAGAGGATGATAATTTGAAAAAGAGAATTTGTACTGCATCGTCTGGAAATAATGGATTTGCTGTGGCGTATGTAGCTAAAGCATTTGGATATAATGCAACTGTGTTTGTGCCTGAAAATGCAGACACGGCAAAGATTGCAAATATTAGAGATGTGATGGGAGCAGATATTAGATTGTATGGTGAAAATTGTTTGGATACTGAATTGTTTGCAAAGAAATATGCACAAGAGAATGGAATTCCATATTTCTCACCATACAATGATTCAGATATTGTTATGGGACAAGGAACAATTGGTGTGGAAATTGAGGAACAATTGAATGAAATTATGAAAAATAGAGGAGGTTCAATTAATGGAATTAAATTGGAAGATGATGGATCAAATCTTAATGTTTATGTATCAGTCGGAGGCGGTGGATTAATTGGTGGAATAGCTCGCTACCTTAAACATGCCTTCCCTAAATGTAATATAATTGGATGTCAACCACAAAATAGTGCTGTCATGTACCATTCAGTTAATGCAGGTAAAATTCTGGAAGTTGTTGAAGAATTTGATACAATCAGTGATGGAACTGCTGGCTTAATTGAAGTAGATACAGTCACATTCGAGATTTGTCAACAATTTGTGGATCGATATGTCCTCTCAACTGAAGAGGAAATTCTCTCATCACTCAAATTCCTCCTCCTGAAAGAACATACTCTAGTAGAAGGTGCAGCTGCTTGTGCTTTGGCCTGCCACTTGAAAGATGATCAATGTAAAGATAATTCGATCAACGTGATTGTTTTATGTGGAAAGAATATTTCCTCTGAAAAGATTAAAAAGATTTTACAGTAATACTTTTAATTAAATTATTAATAATTTTATTTTCAATTAAATTTTTACTAATTTTTTTCAAAAAAAATGAGTACTGTTCTGATTGCTTGCTATTCGGAATCGATGATGAACACGAGAAGCTGATTATCTAAATTGTTTTTGAATTGATGATCATCATTATGATGATTTTCGATAAAAAAGCATTGAAATGAAGACAAATAAACCTATACTCGATGAACTGAAGATTCCGAAATGTAATGATCACGAACTGGAAGTAATTTTAATAAAATCAAATATTCATCACCAAGTTAACTAATCTTTTCCGATCCAAAGCTTGGGGTTATTGGCTTTAAATAGAAACCACTTCAATAATTAGAAGAAAGAAACCATTCAACAGTAATTTTCGATCGTCATAAGGACGATTTGAAATCCAGTGCACTACTTCCTTCTTAATTATTAAAAAATTTTGTTTAAAAAATACCTCAAATCTAATAGAATCAATAAGTATATTAAATTTTATTGCTCATACATTAATAAGGATACAATCATGTTAGAATCAAACATTAAGGTACATCTTGAGAATATTAGTATCACTGGAGTAGATAAAAACGAACTTTCGTATATGATAGCGAATGGAGGTGCGTTCACCACTTTAATTGTTAAAGCCATGCTAAGGGGAAATGAGGAGCAAATTAAAAAGGAGGTTAATGATTTTTTGAACACCACAGACAAGGCAATAATAGAGATTTTCCTTTCCTTATCCTGTAGGTATCAAATTGAGGATGATGAGCATGATTGTAAATTCTTGGACAGGATTAATCCTCAAGAGTTTAGCAGAAACATACAATCAATTCCTAAACCTCAATTCTTAAAAGATATATTCAGCTTTAAAAAGGCTCCATTCCTGGATGGAATGAGAAAATTAATAACATCACATCGAATTGCATTTGAGAAGGAAGAATTAGAAGCAATTGAAGCAAGAAAGTTGCTATTCGGTGAAGATGTTCAACAAAAAAAATCGACTAAGAAAAAAGCTGCCACTAAAACAATTAAAAAAAGCTACCAAGAGAAGAAGAAAGAATAAAGTTTGTTGATTGTTTAGGAGCTATTCTCTACCATGTCGCAAGACCTGATATTACAAACTATGCTCAGTACAACTCTATAGTTAATAAAGCTAAATCTCAATAATGCCAAACAAAAGTATCTCATTAAATAACCTCTTCTTATTTCAGATCATTGATCAAAGTAATTGTTATATTCATCGAATCGGTATTGAAAGAATGTAATTGGACAACAAGGTATGAATTGAATAGTTGGAGGTATTGGTATGTGTTCCACTTGTATAGTGTTGTGTTTGGTTTTGTACTCAAAGAGTCTCAAGCCCTCTGATTGATAATGGTAAACCTCTGGCATCAAGGTATTGCAACGAGTCCAAGTTGACTAGAAATTCAACTCCCTGATCATTAATAGAAGTTGCAGGAACAGAGAGTCTTTGGAGGTTTTTCATTTGGGAAAGATAAAGAGCTCCCAACTTGGTAATCATGTGATTTGTGCCAATTTGGAGATCTCGTAAACTGGCCATTTTAGAAATATATTCAACTCCCTTATCGTTCATACAAGTGTTTGTTAAATTCAATTCTCGTAAATTAGTCAATTTAGAAATCAAGACTGCTCCTAGTTGACCAATCGGGTTATCGTTCAAAATGAGTGTCTTTAAAGTTTTCATTTTCACAAGATATTCAACACCTTCTGCATCAATTTCATTAAATCCCAAATAAAGAACTTCCAAACTGAGTATTGCTAAAGAATTTGGTTATTTTCTAAATGTAAACATTTCAAAGATGTTATTCTATATATGTGTTCCAACCCAATTCCACTAATATTAGTATTATTCAATCCAAGAAATGTCAAAGTTCTCATATTAGAAATGCATTCAGCATGTAAATTACCAATCTTGTTGAGCTCCAAATTAAGATGACTTAGTGATCCAAATTCTAATAACAGATTGATGTCTTTCAGTTCTAATTCACAATTCACTAGCTCCAATAATTTCAAATGCTTCAATCTAGTCAAGTTCTTCAACTCTCCATTGTAATAATTCTTATCTAACTGTAATTCTTTTAAACTCTGAATTTGTGAAATATAGGAAAATACTTTTGGCTCCAAAACACAATGATCAATTTCCAATCTCTTTAAACCCTTCAATTTGGATACATAATATGAATTATCATCCGAAAGTAAACTCTTTTTCAATTTTAAAACTTGTAAATTTTCAAAATAGGGAAAACATTCCATCACCCCCAAACCAATCTCACAGAATTCTGCTCTTTCCATTCCAAAAAACAATCCATCGTCACAAAAATTCCAAAAATCTTCATTGGTTTGTAATTCCAATCCAAGTTTTCGTCCTACATTGAAAGAGAAGGGACATTCCCTTATAATTTGCTGCCACTTCTTACAAACTAGTCGGAAATAGGAAATCAATTCAATTCCTTCTATGAAAGGAAAGATGTTATCTCGTAATATGTCATCAGGCAGTCCGTAAAATTGTGATTGTATGGAAGAATGGAAGCACAAACACGAGTAGCTGGTAGTATCCTGATGTGTTGTTGACATTTTTTTGTAAAGTTCATCCTATAATGACGTACCAGACACATGGTTTTAAACGTTGAACTAATTTACAATTTTACATGACTTGGCTCAAGTAATGGACTTTAATTGCTTGAAGAGATGCAATATATCTCTGACAAGATTTAAACAATTTGTTCACATAGTCTTAATTATTAGGATTCAGAATCGAATAGATGATAAGTAATATCACAACGTTTCTCAACATTTTAGTGTTATATACTTGATATGTCAGGGAATTTCTCACGTATTTCCAACATGAATTTGTTATCCCTTCTTAGCTTTTCTCCAATAAATGTATCAAGGTTTACATGGTGATTGTGTGAAGGATCTTTGTATGATAATCCTATTCCCAACATTACAATTTCCTTATCATTTTTGTACATGTTTGGAAGGCTGTATACAACTCCATTCTTTAAGCATCGAATGACCAGATCTCTATCTTCCAATAAATTATGTGGTAAATAATTCAGAATATTATTATTGATATCGAGAGAAAGATATTGTTCTGTGATTTCTCTTGTTTTAAACATATTGTTCATAAAGCAATAAGATATTCCATTTCTTTGAAATACTGCCTTGGCAATATCCGTATCTGTAATCAAATGATCTGGGATGAAGCTAAAGATGTCATATGATACATAGTTTGTCTTTTGAATCAATAAGAGGAGAAATTCTTTGGTTAGAATTGATTTGTGTACGCAACCTAAATCTGAACATCTTTTGCCTATACAAATTTGAACTATCTCTGTGTCCATTCTAAAATTATTGGGAAATATAAAAAGTGGAGCATTATTGTGTACCAATTTCAGAACATTTTCTCTCTTTTCTCTAATTGGTTCTGGAAACTCACGATAGGAGAATATATTTGCCTTCACAGATTCCAGGAAGAAGTTTTCATCGTTTTGCAATCTATCACTAATTAGCTCAACATTCTTGGGGTTCTTTTTGATAGCTGCCATAGCAATTTCCTTGTCATCCAAAAACTGTTGAGGTATTTCTCTAGCAATAAATCTCAAAGAAAATGATTGAGTCATGACCATTAGCTTGACAATTTCTCTGTCATTATAAAATTGTTTCGGTACTGAAATATCATACTTGCAACAAAGTGTCCTCAACACAAATGCTCTATCCTGTTGAAACTCCTCAGGTAAATGAGAATAGAGTGGATATGATTTCAGAGCAGCAAGACAAATATTCCTATTCCTCTTCAACACTTCATTGCAATGAAAGTAAAACAGACCATATTGGGAAACTAATTTCAAAGCAACTCGATAACAATCTCTCAATTGTTGAGGAATTTGATTAAAAACTTTTACAGTCCTAATTAAATGTGCAATCTTTCCAATCACGTATTCATTTCCTACCAAATCATCGGGAATTTTCTCATAATCCCTAAACTTTCTTCTCCCTTTTGATTCTTTTAAATATTGATCAATACGATTCCAAAGTTTGATGATCCGATCCGATTCTGTTTTAAAATTATTTTTTAATAAATTGAAATAATTAATATTGCAATCTTCTCCATGATGATGAAATCATGCAGAATAATCATTTGTACCATTTTTTTAAATTGTAAATAATTTCTCAATAATGTCAATAAGAAAGTGTTGAACATTATTCCGAATCTTCCTTTTCACTTACAAATAAAGAATTTTACAGGAGTTTAATATGAGGTAGGACTTGGATATTAAGGTTTGTTCCTTCAAGGTTGAATTTTTGAAAAAAATAAAACAAAGAGAGGAATTTTTCACTCCAGAATTTTGCACAAAATTCAGCATCATCGGGAATATAATAGGATGGAAAGGAGAGTTGGAATATTGATGATATTCATCATCGGAATGGTTATTTGTATAATGATGAATGTTTCGGTGAATGGTCAACGTTTGTCGAGTGATTTTGGACATTTGGTAAACTCTCGGACACTGGTTAGACGAATTAATGAAAATCCAAAATCACCATTCAAGGCAAAACTGTATGAAAGATTTGATTCTATTGCCAAGTTGATTAATTTATCGAGGAGAAATGGTGGCAGAAAATTTTCTATGAAAACTGTTCAATCAAGAAAGTTTAAACTTTCGAAAGGATTGGCAATTCCACCTGAATATGATTTGAGAAAGAATTGGTATCAATGTGTTGGTGATATTCAAAATGAAGGTCAATGTGGTGCTGTTTGGGCAATGGTAAGTTTTTTCCAATTATTTCAATTCTAATGTGAAATATTTCAATAATAATCTGCTCTATTTTCTAATTTAAACCATTAGGCTCCAAGTGCTACTGTTTCTGATAGAATGTGCATTCAATCTAATGCTAAATTCCAAGAAAGATTGTCCTCTCAATATATTTTGGAATGTGATACTAGAGATTTTGGATGTAATGGTGGATATATGAATACTGAATTTGAATTTGAATTGAATAGGGGTGTTCCAACTGAGAAATGTGTGCCTTACATTGCCTTCAATATGACATTACAACCTTGCCCAACTAGCTGTTTCAATTCTACTCAACCAATGGTTTTATACAAGACAAAATCAGTGCAAAATGTGACTGGAGAGTTGGACATGCAGCAAGCCATTTTGCAAGGAGGAAGTATCATGACTGAAATGGACGTTTATCAAGATTTTATATATTATTCCAGTGGAGTGTATGAACATGATCCATCTTTCACTCAACCAATAGCGAAAACAGTTGCAAGAATTGTTGGTTGGGGAAGTTTGAATGGAGTTAATTATTGGATTGTAGCCAATGTTTGGGGGAAAACTTGGGGTTTGGATGGCTACGTTTTGGTTCGTGTAAGTTATTTAGTGGCTTAATATTTCAATATAATCACTTGAATATTTATGTATTACTATAGAGAGGTACTAATGAGAGTAACATAGAAAAGGACGCATATGCTTTCCAAGTTTACTAATCATTAAGTAAATAAAAAATCTATTTTGTAATATTCTTCTAGTTGAACTGTGACACTCATTATAATAAATGATGAACATACCTAAATAGATGTTGTTTGCCAAGAACATTAATTTCTCACCAATCAACACTAAAGCAGAATAGAACTAAATTTGTCATGTTTTATTCTCAATAAAACAATTAAAAACATTACATTCCTATTCAAAAATTATGTAATTGACTTTCCAATTCTACGAGAATCCCTTGGTTAAATCACTCAAACACATTAGAAGGGTTAGTTTTCAACTCGTGCCAAAGCTTGTACTCGTCAGTGTAAATGAATCTGGAGAACGAATCAACTAGGTTCGTATATAAATCTCTCTTAATTTCATGTAATAAATGCTTGCTGGTATCAAGATTAATGGTACCACTCTTTCTTTCAGTATCTACCAATTTCTTTGTTTTTCCTCTAATGTTAATTTCTTCTGAGCAACCATCATCAAGGAATTTATCATAGACCATGTTAATCACCTTGCTTCTTCTTTTTCCTGACATGTCAATAAAATTCTTTTCCATATCCAAAAGCTCTTGCCAACAATTCAAATTCTCGACTGAAAACTCTGCAACACAAAAGTCTTTGAATAATTGAAATCCCATAGCATCTCGTAAAAGTAGCTCCAACTCGTTTGTCATTATTGAAGGAGCAGAGGCTGAACGTTCCAAATTCTTTCTATCAGATGGTGTTTTACCATGATCTGAAGAGGGAATTTCCACATGACTATGAGATTGAGTCTTAATGACTGTTCTAGTCTTTGAAAATGATTTGTTGAGAATGTTGGCAATCTTTTTCTTTTCATCCAATTCAGCAGCAATAGTTGTATCAGTATCTGTATCAGCTCCTGCTCTTGTTGCTGAAGATGAAGAGTCTGAAGTTGCTGCACTCGTAATTGAATGAACTCTAGGTCTGTGTTGTGGAAGTTGTGTTGATGATGAAGGAGAAAGATCCACAATTGGTGTATTCACATTTTGCATTGAAATAAACTCCTCACTATCGGTAACTCTTCTTCCAAATTCCTCTTCCCCTTTCATTTCTGCCTCATCGATAGTATTTCTTCTGTGAAGCATAAAGAAGGCCTTGAGCACATTCTTCTTCTTTAAGAGAGAAAGCTTGGGCGTTGAAAGTGATCGTCTGTAGCCTGAATTTTCTTGTAACCTAGCAATTTGTTGTTGAGTGGAAGGAGGAAGGGATTGTCTGGACTTGAGATTGGATGATTCGTTAGTAGTTGAGATTGTGGTAGTATTATTTATAGTGGTGGTATGAATGGTAGTGTTGTTGTTGGTAGTGGAGGCTCTAGATTGTGTTGGGTTTGAAATTTGCATGACTGTGTTAATGTTGGTTGGAATATCTGAAATATGAATACTAGTACTGAGCGCAGTCCTAGAGTTTCTAACACTCGTCGTTGTGCTGGTCAGTGAGGTCATGTCACTATCAACATGGTGCAATGGAAAAACGTTGAAAGATGTATTCATGGATGAGGAGAGGAGTACGGGAGAAGATGGTGTTTGTTGTTGATTGTTATTTGAACAATGTGATGAAGAGGCAGCTCCAATTCCAACAAGAGCATGCGATGCAGCAAACACTACATCACTTGGAGGTTGTTGCTCTTGATTATTAGGTGTAGAGATGGCATTATTCGAAACTTGATGATGAACATTAAAACTGGATACAGTGGTCAGAGGTGATTGATTTCTCGTTGTTGCTGTTATTGTTGGTATTGATGATGAATTCTTAGAGGAGGATGAAATGTGCCTCTCACTCCTCCTAAATGAGAAGCGTTGTTTAGAATGAGAATTTGTATTGCCCATTGATTCAACTTCTTATATTGTTGATGATGATGTTACAATTACTGTAGTTACACTTTAACTTGCCCAACAATCAGACAAGAAGCCTTTTTATCTAATGATGATGCTATATTGCTCAATAATGATGATGAAACACACAACACCCTTGATGGTGGATGTATAATATTCTCGAATCTAAAAGGCAACAACACAATGGAGTGTGTTGCGATTCTCAAGAGATGAGGAAAAAACAACGTGAAAAACCGTTGGATTTGTGTTCGTGCTGCGAAATGGCCTACAACACTCAAAAAATGAAGGCCGATGAAGTGTTGAGTTTTTTTTCTCTTTCTGCTCTCTTCATTGCTTCGGCTACTGAAGATGAGTTTGGTGAGTGAATTTGAACAGGCAGGAACAATGACAAGGAAGATTGAGGGCTTAAGGTATTGGTACCATACTCCAAAATTGTTAAGCGTACAGAAAAGAAATTGTATACGAAAGCTTCCTGAATGAGAATATTGGGTAGGTGTTAAAGCTGTAAGCACGATTATTATTCGAATTTTAAACTGTTATTTGCAGTTTGTCTGAAATGTGGAAAGTAAATAATTGGTCAGTGTATTGAGAGATGTGAAAAACAATATTGGCGCCAAATCTGTACAACTATTGATTAGTGACGGGTAATTTTGGTTTTAGATGTGCTTTGTATTTTTTAGGATCTACTGAAGGAGGCGGATTATCCTTTTTGTGGGTTGTATTTGAAAAAGTCCATTGATTTTTCCATTACCTCAACCACCTTCAAAAATCTCAAAAACTTGGAAATTCTCTTTCCTTTGAAAGAGGAAAACAATAAGACAAGTCCAGAAAATAATTATTCAATGGACACTCTAATAAAATAGTTTTTGAGACTTTTTCATTTCGAGATTGCTTGATACGGATAGTAAATCTTGGGCTTACAATATGTGGCATTTTCTCTTCTTGATTATTGAATAATTTGAAGCAATTCAAATTGAAAAGGCAACATGTATACACAAATGGACTTCTAATGAGTGACTTAAATCTTTCTTCAAGATTAAACTCATTGTCGTCCTCTTCTATGTATTGATTGTAGGTATGGAAGAGCCAGTATGCTGCCTTGTGGTTGAGCTTATCCAAACTGTCTCCATCATGTTTGATAAAGACTTTCTCCCAGTTTATCTTATCTTCTTCAAGGCAATCTTTAATGCTTTCGAATAATTTCTGTTTGTGTGCTGAGAATTTATCAGAAAGGACAATCTCATCATTTTTTCTGGTTGACCAATAGAGTCTCCATTGTGAATACGCTTCCTTAAATTCATCTTTCCATCTTTGCCACTCTGAGGAGTATATTTCAGATGGGTTTTCAAAAACAGTGTCAAGTTGCTTTGTATCTGAAAAAACCATCCTATTGAATATATTTCTAATTAGGTCAAACATTCTTGCTTCGAATGTATCAAGTTCTATATGAGATTGGTCAGTAATCTTCAATTTGCAAAGTTCCATCCACTTTGGAGAATCCTTTTTTGGAATTTCATACAACTGTTTAGCATTAAAAGCTGATCCCTTAATAGTATCAATGCTGTCGTGATACATTTTGGACAATTTAAGTTTGATATCTATTCCAACCTTGGAAGAATCTTCTCTCCAACACATTGTTTTAAGATAAACTTCTGAAATTTTTGATGATTGTTCCATCATTTCCAATACAGTTTTTCTTACATCTTCCATGCTTAGTGAATTTTTAACAGTTTTGGTCACCTTATTGGTGGCAGCTCCATCGTTATAATTCAATTTTGGTTTGAGATTTTGATCAAATAACTTGACAATTTCTGGATCGAAAATAATCTCATACAAGTCGCCATCCAAATCACCTCCTGCCATGTAGCATAATGGTTCTGGGACTTTCTTATAATTTGGATTGTGTCCAAAGACAATGACATCTCTTCTTGATTGGAGGAATTCTGTTGGGGGATGCTTGACCAACTTTAAGCATTGGATATCACCTTCATAGGCAAGAGGATTTCTATAGACAAGAACCTTGTCAATTTTAGCATAATCTAAACTTCGAATCAACTTGGAGCATGGGATGTGAACTTCATCATGTTTCAAAGTCGAACTTTCATCATAAACACCCATACCACTTAAAAACCCAGGATGTTTACATTTCATACTGAGCTTGTCACTAACCATGGATTCAAACTTGCTTTCAATATTGTCTTTTACAACGGAGGAAATAAAATAATTATCCAATGAATGTTCAGCCATTATTAAATCTCTAGCAATAGATTCTTGCGAAGTTTCTCCTGATTGAGAGAGGAGCACGTTGCATAAATATTCTGGATTATCCTTATTCTCAACAATTTCCATTAATTGAGTTTCGTAAAAATTTTTGAACAATTTTTCCATTTCTTCTTCATTCGTAGTCATTTGCAGTAAGCAAGACATGATATTTCTATTAATATTGCCACCATGAACACGAGCAACATTCAATATATCAATCTTATTGTAAATTGAATAATTTCCTTCAAATTTCACCATTGAATTTCTCAAAATGACTTTGGTATTGGATGGCAATTTGTGCTTTTTAAGTAATTCTGCCCACATTGATTTGTTAACCTTTTGAATGACTCCTTTGGCTCCCAAAATTCTTACCTGCATGGCACTGATGTTCTTGAAATTCTTTTCGAATAGTCTACCTTGTTTCGTATCTGATTCAAATAACTTGTCCATAAAGAAATATGGAACAGAGTAGGTATTTTCCAGGACTTGTTCGAAGAAATCTTCAACAGCCATACCAGCACCATCAGTCACTGCAATATCATCTGAAATAATTTGGATATCATCTTGTTTCCATTCCACAATACTTGGAGTACTAGTTCCCATACTCAATCCAACTCTACTAGCAACCTTTCTAGGTCCATGCTCCTCAGCTTTTTCAAAGGTACCCAACATTTGCTTCAATATTTCCAAATTCAACAATGTTGAGTTGTAAAAGATACAGGAATCACCTTTCAAACCAGAATTTGAAGTACCTAACAAACAATACTTATGACCTTCATGAACAATACCATAGGAGAGACAATATTCCTTCTTGCATTCTGAGAGTGCTTTCAGATCCTCTTTGGATGTAAAATCAAATTTTACAACCATTAAACATTTTCCCAAATTCAAACTCATTAAAATTCTTGCTAATCTTGAGAATGAATTCAAGATTGAGTAACGATTGGTTCCATCACCAATAATCGCATACTTTCCATTGTTTCCCTCCATTTTCTTCCATCTGTTTTTCACATGACAAACTAGTGGATAGAATTCACCAAAGAATTGTTCGTATCCACCAGCAACATTTGAATTGAAAAGTGATTGAAAAAGAGTTTGATTAGCTTGTGATTCAAACAGTTCCAATTCTCTGGCAAAGTATCTGTATCTCTTCATCAAGTATTCCAATGGATTCTTTGCTAAATCCATGGTGCTATCACACATATAGGAAATCTTTGCACTCAACTCTGAATATTGAACATTATCTATCTTGACAACAATCTTCCAAACATTCTTTCCAAAACCAAGAACATTCCAATCTTCCCAGCCGGTGATTGTTTGCAAATCTTCATCTCTCATTGGCAATACAATAATCAATTTACCATTAACC